TATCAGCAAAAGTGTGTTAATCTTCAACATGTATTTAACACTTCTAGAGACTTCCTTTATTGCCTAGAAAGGCTCTGATGAAATGTGGTTACTTAAAAGCATGTTGATTAAACCAGTGCAATATAAGTTTAAGTCATAGGTAAACTTCTCTATTTTTTTTTTAATCCAAATGACAAAATTGAACTGGCTGGTCCATAAAACAACTAAATTCGAGTATTTAATAATTAGATTTATTCCCCTGTCAAAAAGAATATAATTAATAAATATCTATTCTATGTTTATGGTTCATTTTTTGGTCTACCTGTATATTTGTAATATTGTGACACTAAATATATGGTAATTTGATTTCACTGAAGCTTGAAATAATTTCCTTTCTCTAAGACATAGCTTAGAGCTAGTAGATAATTCAGAAGGAATTCATTTGACTATTCTAAGAAGCCACTGAATCTGGAATTCATAGCTTGGTAAATTCTAATTAATTTCAAAAGTGTGAGGCATTAGTGTTTTTCTTTTTTTAATTTATTTTCTTAAATCTTCTTTTCTTTAACGAACTAAAAAACAAACAAACAAACAAAATCACAACCCTATCTTTTCTTGAGCTAATTATGGACAGACATGTTCTAGAGAACCAGGCCATTCTAGGAATATTGCTTTTACATTTTCTAAATGGAAATATCTTATCCCCAAGCATCTATACTATTATCTTTTCCTTCCTCCTCCTCATTCCCCAGCTAATCAAGACATAATTACCTAAGGGTTTCTATTTTTTTTAAATATATCTTATTGATTTTCTCCAGAGAGGAAGGGAGAGGGATAGAGAGTTAGAAACATCAATGAGAGAGAAGCATCGATCAGCTGCCTCCTGCACACCCCCCACTGAGGATGTGCCTGCAACCAAGGTACATGCCCTTGACCAGAATCGAACCTGGGACCCTTCAGTCCCCAGGCCGACGCTCCACCCAGTGAGCCAATTTTTTTGATGGAATTTATAACTTCTTAAATTTGGCAAGTTGAATAACTGGGAGGGAATAGAGTTTTCAACAATATTTACTATACTATAGTGAAAAGTCTTTATCTCACTTATATGCTAGATCAGCCTGGGCATTTTTTCTGTATTCTTTTGGTAGGACAGAAAGTAACTGACAGCAGTAAAAAGTATTATTAAAATAATTTGTTCTTCACCAAATACCCTTTAAAATGTGAGTGGACAATTGGACTTTGTGTTTCTAATTGTGTACAGATGTCCAGTTCTATAAGTCAGAAGGTAAAACTCGCTTTTATCATGTGAAGTTCTTTAAAAAAGAAAAGGTATATTGGTTATCATTTTCCCTACTGATAAATAAGTATTTAATAGCTGAGGGGAGTTGATCTTCTTTGATAAAGTCATTATGTTAGAAATATATGTTGGAAAATTTACCTTATATTTAGAGAAACAGGATATCCTAAATTCTGGCTAGCCAGAGGGTAATGAACAAAGTGCAAAATGACTATAGTACAAACAAAAAATGGGATAATAATCTGATGAGATTTTATGCTGTGAAAATGCTGCCTATATCTTTTTGCTTCCCTCTTCTCTCTTTCTCTCTCTCAAGAGAAAGGCATTTTTAAAAATTATGTCCTTGAAACTTCTTTAAATTGTCAGTTTCACATTGAAAATCTAATTTCCCTGAACTACAAAAGGGTCTTTCTCATGCTGTCTTTCTCTCACAGACTTATAAAAATTTATTTTAGTTGTCAACTACGTAAATTCTCTCTAGAGATGGAAAATAATTCCCACTAGTTCTTCCCCCACAACACCCCATTCCCCAAAACATCACCAGTGTGACTTTATGAGTCCAATAGAATGATTTAATTTCATAGATATCTAGGGCTTACCTGTGTACCATTTGTGTGAGGGCTTTTTAAAAGTAGAATGGAATGGTATCTTTTGCTTATTTGTAACTTGGTTAAGACAAAGAAAGATAAGGCTTTCTGTGAAAGATTTGGTTGTTGACTTCTCTGACTGATCAAATGCCATAGGAATTGGGAAAGCAGGCATTACACTTTTCACTTCTCATACATAGAAGTATATTCAGAAAGACAAAGTGATTTACTGATTCAGTGAGGGACCAAGAGTGATTGGACAGATCTCTGGACCTCCTAATTCTGAAATTACTTTCTGACACTTTTTGTCTCTGCAGATGTGCTTGTGGTTTTGTGGGTTTTTTTTTAAACAATAGAGATATTTTTCATAAAATTCTGTGTGACTTTTCTGGGCCAGGAGCGATGCACCAACAGCAAGCTTGCGGGAGGGAGGGGGGGTGATGCCCTTGAATACCTAGTATTCTTAGCTCATCACACGCTACCTCCAGATAGACAGCTGAGTATAGAACAGCATCCAGGCTGATTACACGTGTGCCACCAGCTTTTATAGATTACAGCTTCACTCCCTTTATCAGGAGTGATATTATTCCTCTTCATCAAGTGATATTCATTCAGTATCCTCATGACCTTGACAGATTAGCAGGTCACCTGAGGATGTTTAGATGAGGTGAGGATAGAGAGCGGCAGTCCACTGTGTTCTGTATGGCCCTGCTTTTACTCGGAGCCCAGGGTTTCAGGGAGATGGTTCATCTTATCTGAATGAAGTGAAACCGATTTCGAAATGAGGCTTTGCTGCTCTAAAAGGGAGAGTGAAAGAGGGTTTTTTGCAGGTTCAGCAGTTATGTGGGGTATTTAAAGACTTGATCTCATTGGGATCATTCATAGCCCAAATATATCTGTGGTTCTGTGATACCAAGGAGGTGCAAGACATTTGGCATGTGTGTTGGAGCATCCTGTGTCCCATAAGTGAGACAGAGTAAACTGCAGCATTTGAGTGTCAACAGCAATAGACTTAGAATTTTATGCAACATTTATTGATTCCTTACCTTATACCTGGCATTTTGCTTGGCACCAAAAGGATGGAGTGAATAAGACATGGTCTCTTCCATCTAGGACAGTGGTTCTCAACCTTCCTAATGCCGCGGCCCTTTAATACAGTTCCTCATGTTCTGGTGACCTCCAACCATAAAATTATTTTCGTTGCTACTTCATAACTGTAATTTTGCTACTGTTATGAATCGTAATGTAAATATCTGATATGCAGGATGTATTTTCATTGTTACAAATTGAACATAATTAAAGCATAGTGATTAATCACAAAAACAATATGTAATTATATATTGTGAAATATTTATTTCTAATTACAAATATGTGTTTTCCGATGGTCTTAGGTGACCCCTGTGAAAGGGTTGTTCGACCCCCAAAGGGGTCGCGACCCACAGGTTGAGAACTGCTGATCTAGGAGCTCACAGACTTTCAGGAGAAGAGAAACATTTGAGCAGATAAATACAGTAACAGACTATCTGTATGACTACAAAGGAAAAGTGGTCAGTTCTCCCTGGGTGTTATGTTGGAGCAGGAGAGGAGGTGGAAGTCTCAAAAAGGATTCAGAGTGGAGGCGAGGGTTGAATTAAGTCTTGAAAGATGAGTAGATGGGACAAGAAGACAATACTTATGAATGACATTCCAGACATGGGAAAAGCCTGAACAAGTTTTGGGACTGTGCAACAGCTTGGCACACACTGGGAACCATAAGCAGCAATAACCCAGCATAGGATGCAAGGGAGGGCATTCAGAGAGATGGTGTTGGAGAAATACAGACCTGAATCCTAGAGCTGGGCCTTGCTGCAGAGTTTGGAACTTTGTCCTGTAGTTCCTGAGGAGCTGTTGCAAATGTTTAAGCTAGTGAATGACAATGAAATTTATACTGTGTAAATTTTCACTCTGGGAAGGATGGATCTAGGGAGGAGAATTAAACATGGAAACCAACCTGGAGACCATTATAGTGTCTAGCTGAGAAAAGCACCGATTTTCAACCTTTTTCATCCCATGGTGCACACATAAACTATTTAGTAAAATTCTGTGACACACCAAGAAATATATTTTTTGCTGAGCTGAAAAAAAAAAAGGTATGATTTTGATTAATTCACACTGGACAGCTCTTGTTGTGTTGGCTCTTGTCTATTATTATTATTATTATTATTATTATTATTATTATTATTTGAAAGTCTAAGGGAAAAGAGGTCAGTGCCCTTGACTAAATAGTCAGGTATTGCATGTTTAAAAGATTCTTGTGGCACCTGTTGAAATCGCTGGTCTCTACTAAAGGAGTACCTGGGATGAGGGGTGGAGAGCAGGGCAGAGCTACCAGAGACAAGAGGAAGGGTAGGATTAAGAAAAATAATAACAATATATAAGATTTGAAATGTCATGCCTCCATTTTGCATGTATCAAGAGCTGTTTCAAATCAATAATTAATAGAATATTAATCTTCCAAAGCAAAGAAGACACAATCTGCACACCCCACAGACTTGTTTGTAAAATGTAGATAAAGGTGTTCAGGTCCAAGGTTTCCAGCCCTCTAGTGATAACTCCATTTAAAATAAATAGTGTATCTGAACAATGCATTGATATTTATAGTTTTTCTCTGTAAAATGTGAGCATTTGGTAAGGTGTTACTTAGAGGTTTTATGGGAGAGTGGCTGAACAGCGGGGCTGGTCATTCGTTCCAAGTGTTAGCTCTGGCACTTGCAAGACTTAGACAAATGACAACTTTTCTGAGCTTCATTTTTCTGATTTGTAAGCATTAGGCTAGTAATATTGCCTCATGAGTTTCAAGTGAGAATGAAATAAGATTGAAGCATGTGAAAGCGGCAGGCCAAGAGGCTGGCAGAGTAGTTGCTGGAGGCTACCAACATCCTTCTTTTCCCTTTTTCTTTTCTTAGAGATTGTTTAAATTGTTGAACTTTCCGTTTCTCCTCTGTGCTCAGCCTTACTTGGCTAGGAACCTAGAGACCAATATGAAAGTCTCCCTGTGTAGTTGTCCTCACATTTAAATTCTTTAAGGAGATTGCGCATGAAGTGCTTGATTTCCTGGAAAAAGGCATTTATTATTTCTCTCTTTGCTTTCTATACAGGATGTCAGCTGCAATGAGATCACAGCCTTGCCCCAGCAGATAGGTCAATTGAAATCTCTACGAGAACTGAATGTCAGAAGATTACCTTAAAGTTTTACCACAAGGTAAAAAAGAAAGAGGGGGAAAATGAATAAAAGTGGAGACTTTGATTATATTTTGTTTGCTTTTGTGTATGCCTATTAATATTATAATTTGAATATCACATGCAGATAACAGAAAAGTTATATTCAAGTTGTAATTTTAGTCAAGGGGCACAGCGATAGAACATTGAACAGACTGTGTGTGTGTGTGTGTGTGTGTGTGTGTGTGTGTGTTAATTTGCTCAGGCTCCCATAAGTACCATAGTCTGAGTGGCTTAAACAACAGAAATTTATTTTCTCACGGTTCTGAAGGCTGGAAGTCTGAGATTAAGGGGTTAACCAGTTTGATTTCTCTGAGGCCTCTCTCCTTGGCTTGTAGATGGCCATTTTCTCCCTGTGTCTTCACATCGTCTTCCCTCTATGTCTCTGTCCTAATCTCTTCTCAGAAGGAGAGATAAGGACATATTGGATTAGCATCCTCTCCAATGAGCCCATTTTAACCTAATTATCCTTTAAAGACTCTGTCTCCAAACAGTCACATTCTGATGCACTGGGGGTTAGGACTCCAACATATGAATTTGGGGAACACTATTCAGTCCATAACAGGAGGCAACATGTATTGTTTTTATTGTGGACTTGTGAACATCATGCCAACAGTTGAGTTGACATGTTTGGGCCTGTAGATCTGACTGTCATGGTTTCTGGTCTTTTGGGGACCTGGGGGTCCTGGTTGGAAACCCTTGTGTCTAAAATCTATTTTTCAGGAGAGTTCACTGCCCTTTGGAGTGATATTTGGACTAATGTCACTGCTGGTTTGGGTGAACTTCTCCAAGCCTGGAAGCAATGATGGCTCCAGAGCCTCAGTGCTGAGCTCCTCAGACAGCCCTGCTGTGAGCCAGACTCGGTTTCCTGCTGCTGTGGGCTTCCACAGGGTGTCCTGATGCACTATGTTGGAGTTCAAATCAAAAGACATGTTTATTCAGAAATTTTATGTAATTAAGAATGTTGGCAATCAGCCTTGTAGGTGGTAGAAGATCAGAATTTCATATTTTGGGGATTCTTATTTGGATCTGAATCAGGAATGAGGTGAGCAGTAGAACACAATGCTTCCTCCAAAGCATCCTCTGGTTTTCAAAGAACACTGATTTCCAGCCTTTGCATTTAAGGACACTAGGCTTACCTGATTTCAAACATATGCTAAAAAATATGCCTCAGAGCACAAACATATGTATTTGGAAACAGTCAGCATTTGGTTAATCTGACACTAATGCTGTTGTTTGGAAGCTGCTTGATTTTTACTATTCTGTTTCTGCTTCTTGATCTTTGACTTGAAATGCTTCATTATTCGAGGCAAGAATATGGCACTCATAAAAGAGAAAGAACTTTATGAAATGTAATACACTTTATAAATGGAAGGTTTAAGTGTCTGCCGTCTTCACCTTTTTCATATGGACTAGCATTTTAAAGAAGTAGAATTAGAAAGTATTTCAGCATAAAGATTGATTACCTGAGATGACTTGGTATAAAAATATAAATTGTTCATTTTGTCACTGCAATCCCATTTTTTAATGTTTGAAATTGTTTTTCTTCCTTTGAGCAAGTACAAAGATAAAACTCTTACTTATAATTTATAAGCATCTACACTAATAAAAGAGAAACATGCAAATTGGTGTCACTCTGCTATGCCCACCAGCCAATCAGATGAGTATGCAAATTAACTCAACAAAGATGGTGGTTAATTTGCATATGCAGGCAGAGCGAAGACTGAAGACGACTGAAGATGGCGGCCGCCAGGAGCTGGAGCGAGGAGGAGGCTTGGGTTGCTCCCAGCGACAGAGGAAGCCAAGCTTCCCGCCAGCCCTGGTCTCTGCTCAAGGAGGGGCTGGGGGCCTGAGTCCCCAGGGGGGTGTGGCCAGCCTGAAAACTGGCCCTCAGCCCCTCACCCAGGCTGGCCACACCCCCATGGGATGAGGGTCCTCACTGGGTGGCTTGGCCAGCCTGCAAACAGCCATCAGCCCCTCATCCAGGCTGGTCAGGCACCCCAGTGGGGACCCCCACCCTGAAGGGGCTGTGGCCAGCCTACAAACAGCCATCATCCTCTCACCTAGGCTGGCCAGGCACCCCAGCGGGGACCCCCACCCAAAAGGGGGTATGGCCGGCCTGAAAACAGCCCTCAGCCCCTCACCCAGGCTGGCCATGCCTCCCCAGTGGGGACCCTCACCCCATGGGGGTGTGGCTGGCCTGCAAACCACCACAGGCCCCTCGCCCCAAGGGAACCCCCAACCCGATTCAGGGCATCCTTCAGGGCAAACCAGCCAGCCCCCACCCGTGCACCAGCCTCTATCTATACTAATAAAAGGGTAATATGCTAATTAGACTGGGAGACCTTCCAGGAAACCTTCCGGATGTTCTTCTGGACAAAGCCATGGTGGCGGGGCCGAGGTAGAGGCGCTTAGAGGCCAAGAGGGGAGGGCAGTTGTGGGTGATCAGGCCGGTGGGGGGGGGGGGGCTATTGGGGGTGATAAGGCTGGTGGGGGTGGGCAGTTGGGGGCGAGCAGGCCAGTGGGGAGGGAAGGTGGGGGTGAGCAGGCCAGCAGGGGGAGCAGTTGGGGGCGAGCAGGCTGGCAGGCAGTGTGGTTAGGGGCAATCAGGCAGGCAGGCAGGTGAGAGGTTAGGAGTCAGCAGTCCCAGATTTCGAGAGGGATGTCCGACTGCCGGTTTAGGCCTGATCCCTGTAAACTGGCAGATGGACATCCTTTGAGGGGGTTGGAGAGGGTGCAGGCCGGGCTGAGGGACACAACCCCCCCCCCCACTCATGCACGAATTTCGTGCACTGGGCCACTAGTATAATTTATAAGCATATATAAGCTCTCATGTGAATCACTGAGAAATCATCACAAATCATTTAATTATTCTTTTCAAAAAGAAAATTTAATTTTTTTTACTGTTGCCTTGTAATAGTATAGAAATGTGTGGAAAGTGCATCTACAAAATTAAGATTTTTATTTCTTTCACCACTACTTACTGTCTTACCTTAAAAGCATTCCTTTCCCTGAAAAGATCAGTTACAAATTTCTATACTTTCCATAATTATGTTTACTCAGGTTCAATATTTTAAAATCCACTCAAAGCTAAAACATCAGTGTACCAGAAAAGCATTAAAATTTTTTTTTCTCCAAATATCAAGTTTCTTTTTGCTTCACTCTGGAGAACTCTGTTAACAAAAGAGCATTGATAATGCTTTAGGCAGGGAACTTAAAGACCTTCCATATTTACTTACTTGTTTTTCCTTCTTGAGAATCCCTCCTCATATGCTTTCAGTTTGAGGAGGGGAATGTTTGTGGCCTAATTATCCGTAACAGTTTTATGTCATGGCTGCGAAGAGGAGACTATGTTTTATTCTTCCTAGGGCCAGAACACACAGAAGGATTAAAGTAACCATTCATTGGCCCTCTTTTTTTTTTCTTTTTTTTAATCTTTACTTGAGGATATTTTCCCATTGATTTTAGAGAGAGGGAAAGACAGAAACATCAATGTGAGAGAAACACATTGATTGGTTGCCTCCTGCATGCACCCTGACCAGGGCCCAGGCCAGGGAGGAGCCTTCAACCGAGGTATGTGCACTTGACCAGAATCAAACTCAGGACTCAGGACCCTTTTGTCCACAGGCTGACAATCTATCCCCTGAGCCAAGCTGGCTAGGGCTTTTGTCCCTCTTTTGTATTAATTTTAGAGAAAGGGGGAAGGAGAGGGATAGAGAGAGCGAAACAGCAATCAGCTGCCTCCTGAACACCCTGACCAGGAATGGAACCCGGTGACCTCTTGGTTCATAGGTTGATGCTCAACCACTGAGCATCCCGGCTGGGCTCATTGTCCCTCTTTAAAACAGACAGAAAAGTGAGATTCCTTTACGGCCCCCCCACCCCACCCCACCCTTACTCTCTTTCTGCTGTTTGTTTTGACCTTTCCTGGGCTGGAGTTGTCATTTCTCCTCCAATTTCTTATTATGAAACTGTCAGGTTCCAGTTTTCCTAAACTACGATGGTCATTACTATTCCTGCTTTATTTACTTGTAAGTGGCCTTCCCTTCCCTCCTGCTATGTCTTCCAGGAATTCAGCCCTCGGTTTTGCTTTAAAAAGTCTTCCTTTAAGTGGCAAATAATTCCTGAAGATCCCAAATCCAATTTAAATTTGCCACTGTTGCCCTGCCCGGTGTGGCTCTGTTGGTTGAGTGTCCTCCTTTGCACCAGGAGGTTGCCAGTTCGATTCCCAGTCAGGGCACATGCCCAGGTTGTGGGCTTGATTCCTGGTAGGGGGCCTATGTTTTTCTCTCTCTCTCCCTCCCACTTCCTCCCTCTCTAAAAAAATCAATAAACTATTCTTTAAAAAAAAATTGCCACTCTTTTGTTAACCTAAGTCTCATGAGTAAAGTTAATCATCACAGAGGAGGATTAATATTACTAGAGGTTACAGCAAGCAGATACTGTACTCTTTTTATAAATAACCCC